TTTAGAAAAAGTAGCCGGTGACATTAGTGCATATTATAAGCTCAGTGCCCACACATAGGAGTTGTAACCCAAGTGTTTGTTAAATAAATGAATGCCTAATGAATGAATAAAAGAATTAGTTTTTACTATAACAAGTAGAGGAGATAAAGCAAATTAATATATAGGCCCTGCTTTTCATTTATTTGATGTATTGATGTCAAGCATGATACGTTAATTGTAAAAATTCAAACAATACATGAGTATAAAGAGTAAAAACTGAAAATCTCCCTTTACTTCTTGTCTCCTTTCTTTTACTCCAGGACCACTCCTATCCCAGGTAACCATTATTAACAGTTTGGGGTTTATATTTCCAAACTGTATCTTACATTTATGTGTACATATGTACAAATATGCATTTATATATCCAACCATACATAAGTGTGTATTCACAATGGTTTTTTTTTTTTTGCATATGGGATCATACTATACCTATTCCTTTGTTTTTTCTTATATATTAAGACTCTTGCTTCTATAGTCAGAAAAGATAAACATAATATTCATGTTTCCTTTTTAGTTTTCTTTTCTTGCCTGGTGTTTGTGTCAAGTTTAAGCCACTCTCTAAAAATGAATTTGAAAACTCTACTTATTTTCCCTGTGTTCTGAAATAGTTAAAAATGTCTGTCCTATAAACATTTATTAGAAATCACCTGACAACCGTGGGGGAAGGCAGAGATCTGAGACAACCTTTCTAATTTTTTTTCCTGTTTTTATTGTTCTATCAAGTTTTAGCCCTTATTTTTTATTACATTTTGGTAAAGGAATCCTACACACACATTTCTTCTAGCCCTGATGGATAAGTTGACAAAAGCAAGTGATTAAATGAATCAATGAATGCAGGAATATATGCATTTTTCTCTTAGATCCAGGGTAAAGCCCTACACTATCTAGTTGTATAACTTCAGCAAGTTACTTACCCTCTTCATACTTGTGTTTTCTTATCTGTAACATGGTAATAATCCCTACCTCACAGGAGGCTCGAAAATATTAAACAAGATGTGAGACATTATATGAAAAATCTCAGTAGTTGCATCTAATAAAAATGAAAAAAATTACAATACTAAACATGCCATATAAGTGTAAATTTGTCACCATGGTTACTACAAATTGTTTTAGCCTAACAACAAATTTAAGGAGAAAGGATGGTGACGCTACAGGTATAATAAATTGGAAGGATCTATACAAATTTCCAGGCCTTTTAAAATTTAATTTTGTAGACAGTGATCTCTAAATACCTGCATGCTTTTGAGGCAGGAAAGTAGGAAAAGTACTGGAGTAAACAGTTCTGGATTAATCTTACATTGTCACTTATTAGCCTTGTGACTTTGGTCAAGTTAATTTCTCTCTGTAAAATGGGAGAAATGTACCTACCTTATTGAGTAGTTATGGAAAAAGAGATTAGTATATAGCTTGTGGCATCTAATAGGTGTTCAAATTGTTGGGTTTTTTTTTTTTTTTTTTCGCTTTACATGTAATGAGTGCCTAACAACGACGAGCTTGAGATGTTGGGTTCTGCTATTTTCAGGCCGCGTGGTGGTTTGGAAAGAATATGAGACTCCAAGTCAGAGTTTTAGCCTGTGTATTAGCACTAGCTAGTGGCCTTGGACAAGTTACCTGCTCAGTTCCTTCTGTTTCCTATAAAACACAAAAAGCAAGAGAACTAACACTTATTGAGGATCTATTTTATATGCATTTACTAGGCAATTTACAAATCCTACCTTATTTAATACTCCCAATAATCCTGTTAGAGATGATTGTTATTTTCCATTTTCATAGATGAAGAAACAAAGGTGCCAGGCCTGTTCATGTTCTTTCATTCATTGCAACTATCCACTCCCAAGTATGATAGGGGATACCAAAATGAGAATACTGCAAACTGAAATACTAGGTGTATAAAAAACCTAAACCAATGTTAGATGATTTACAGTAATAAAATACAAATAGAGGGTTGTTTATTTGTCCTAATGCTTATGTAGTAATTTAAATTTTTTAATACTCGTGTTGCTCATAACTGCTTTACTTAAATTTATTAGGCTTCAATGTATATCTGATTTGACCAGGTAAGGGCGAGGGGATAGGTGGTGGTCATCAAGGGAAATATAAGCTTGTTTGATAGGTGCGTGTGTGTGTGTGTAAGTAAGAGGTTCCATAGTTTGGCATTTACAGAAACTATACATTCTTGGAAAGAAGTAGAGAAAATCGGCATTATAATTCATTATTTACTAGCCCACTTGCAGAGTCATTTAAAAAATGAACCTGCCTTTGTCAGCTGGTTTGTAAAGAGATATTGATTATATTTTTGAAAGATAGTAATATTGTCTTTCTTTTAATAGAAGCTTGCCTAAGGTTTTGTTATGGGTTGGTTTATTTAATCAGATTTGGTGATATCTGGCATTTTTGAATACCTTGTGCTAGGGATGTGCAAAACCAAAAATTGTTTTTGGGACATCACAAATTAAATTGTGATTCAGTAATAGTATAGAAGGTTTAGAAATTCTCTCTATTGAGGCTTCAATTATTTTTATTGTGTTTAGTGGGAGTTGAATTCCTATGTTTAGGTTAGAGAATTTTTATCAGAGTGACTTGAACTGCACTATGTAAATTCTCACTGATATGGAATGCCTTTTTTTTTTTTTTCCAGAATACGAAACATCATGGGCTATATATGTAAGAGGTAGAAAACATTGTTCTTGTCTTCAAAGAGTTTATATTTAGTTAAGGAGGCAGCAAACGAGAAAACCAAGTAAAAGGACATGGAGGGTTCTTGAAGCTCATGTCTGCTCTTTGTAAAGTCAATTTAGCTGCTCTAGGCTTTGGTAAGATACCATCGGTCTCTCCTGATAGATACTGTTAGAAACAACCCAGTCCTTTGAGAACTGGCAGTTGTGTATCTTTTCTATCTTGTTCATTCTATAGTGTTCTCTTTGCTTTATAAAAATTACTATTTGGTCTAAGTACCAAATACAGTTCCTCTTCTGAGTGCTCTGCTCTTTATATCCTGGATTGTGGACTGGGTTTTCCTTTTTTTGATGGCTACTAGAAAGCCAGAGCCAGATTTATGGCCCACCCCAGAGCAGACGTATAGATTTTATGCTGTCCATTTTTTTAGGCACAATTTCTGGTGTCTTCTCTATTCCTTTGCTTTTATTTTTTAAATTTATTAACTTTTTATGGTTCATGTATTCTTATCTCATTAGTCCTTTTCAGAACAAAATAGGGGTATGTCTAAATAAATACACATGTAATCCGTGGAGGAACATATCGAGGCAACCAGATTAATATAGTAGAGACCATATGTGGCATATTGTTTTATTTCATGGGCCAGCTTTGATAATGCTGGTGGTGTGGGATATTGCAGTGCGAAGTAGTTGGAGGTATCACGTGAATTTAGTGGGAAAGGCTACTGTGATCACTGAGCAATGTTGTTATGGATATAGGAGTCTTGATGGCCTGTATTTGCCATCTTTGTTATACACAATACATACAGGATGCTGAGTATCACAATGGGTGGGTGGCTTTTTAAGTTTAGAGTTAGATTTTCCCGAGAGATGTGGATTTGGGAAACAAGCTGTAACTTATTGGAGTTGACAGTCAGTTTGGTTCAGCTAGAATAAAATGTCTGCAGTGCATTAAGGAGAAATGAAGCTGGTGGAAAAAGTCAGGAAGTAGGTGTGGGAAGCCTTCTTCCATGATCCCATCCAGAATACCACATCGCATTTAGTTGTTGTGTTTCCCTAGTCTCCTCTGACTGTTTTTCAGTTTCGTCTGATTTTATAATCTTGACAGTTTTGAGGAGTCCTGGTGAGACAGTGTGTAGAACGTCTCTCACCTTGGGTTGTCCGATGTTTTCCTCATGATTAGTATGGGGCTATGGAGTTTTGAAAAAAATACACAAAGCCAAGTTGTCTTTGTTATGTCATGTGAGGGAGTGCCTGATATTTACACGGCATCCTGGTGCTATTAACTTAGATCACTTAGTTAAAGTAGTGTTTGCCAGGCTTCTCCACTGTAGAATTACTGTTTTTCCCTTTTCATATTTTACTTTTAGAAGTGATTTGCTAAATTCAGCCTGTCCTCAAAATGGGAAGGGAAATTAGAAAAGCTTTTCTTTTTAAAAATATTCCTTTAGATGGATGTACCATATATTTTATTAAATGGTTTAGCGTATCGTAACAGTTAAGAGAGCAGGCTCTGGAGCTACACTGCCCATGTTAAAATCCTGGCTGCACACTAGTTATGTGATCTCAGGATACTTTTACCTGGCCTCTTAGTTCTCCATCTGTTCATGGTAGGTGTTAATAGAACCTACCTTATAGGATTTATTGTTGTGAGGATTAAATGAGAATGTGTAAAGTACTTAGAACAGTGTATGGCACTATGTAAGTGCTAGATAGGTGTTTGCTATTGTTGTTGTTATTATTATGATTTTGTCCTTCTAATAATGCTGCAGTGAATGTTTTTTTTCACACACACTGGTGGAGTAGTGGGTATACTATAAGATAAATTCCTAGAAATGGGTATTTGCTTTTGCTATTTTGATAGATATTGCCTAATTTTCCTCCCATTAGAGTTTGTACCATTTTGCTTATCCACCAGAGATATATAATATCTGTGTTCTTATATCTGTGTTACCAAATTATTTGATCTTTGCCAGTTGATTGATGCATGTCTCTTATTATGGATTAACTTGAGCATCTTTTCATTGAGTCATTTAAGAGTTTAGATTTTGATTCCGCTTCTTGTGAAGCAATTCTTGCTTCATTAGCTGGGAAGTGGTACAAAATGTTTGGGAGAATAATAATGGTAACTAGATGAGGAATAATTTAGACCTGGGAAAGACTAGAAGTAGTACCGTGGTTGTAAAATGGACAGTCTGAGAAGTGGCACACTACGTCGCTGGCCTCTCTTCTGGTGTGACAGTGTGGTGTCTTGGTAATTTTTTTTTTTTTTTTTAAGTTTGAAGAGGAATCACCATCCTACGTTTGCAGCCAGCAGTGAATGAAGCCGCAGGAGTAGAAGTTAGAAGGAAAGGTTGTAAAGTAAAACTGAAAGTTAATCTGATCCACCTTTTATGATATGCATGTTTATTATGTTGTATAATAATCAGGCAGAAATTAAAAAGCAGTTCATATATATAAATGTAGTTAACTTTAAATTTCAGTTTTAGAAATTTTCTTTCCCATTGCATTGTCCAGTATGTACAATCATTGCCAGTTGGTAGTTTTGTTCTGATAGCATTAAATTGCCCCTCTCCAACCCTCCCTCCCCAACTACACCATAAATAAAAACAAAAGTGCTGAATCTTACTTTACTGCAGCTGGATGGGGCTGTTAGTGGAGGTGATGTTCCTTTGCTCTTTTCCTTTCAGTTTCATGTTTGAGGGAGTTCATGTGTATAACCTTGGCACTCATGAATTATACGCACCCTTCCTCCCAGGCATTCATAGTTCCTTTACACACCACAGGCAACAAGACC